GTTAAATGTAGAAAATGCAAGGGTTTGAAGCTGGGAGTGCCATAACCCTACAATTAAAATTTAAATAATGTAAAAACTTAGCCTACAGATTGCAAAAAGGCTTGGGGGGTTATGGTAAGCAGCAACCTTAAACCAAGACAGCAACGCCTAAGCGTACGTAATAAGGCAAATAGATTACTGGGATTTATATCAAGAAGTGTAAGCAACAGAAGTCCAGAGGTCATACTGCATCTTTATACATCATTAGTAAGGCCTCACCTAGATTATGCAGCTCAATTCTGGTCTCCATATTACAGAATGGACATAAATTCGTTAGAAAACATTCAGCGTAGGATGACTAAATTAATACATAGCATTAGAAATCTTCCTTATGAAGAAAGATTGAAGACTCTTAAGTTACATTCACTTGTTAGACGAAGAATGAGGGGAGACCTGGAAATAAATGGTATAAAATACCGACACAATGGCAATATAAACACAAATGCAGTATAATGTGATCCTTTATTGACTACGTTTCGCCCACACAGTGGGCTTTTTCAAGTCACAAACAGAACTTGTGACTTGAAAAAGCCCACTGTGTGGGCGAAACGTAGTCAATAAAGGATCACATTATACTGCATTTGTGTTTATATTGCCCGAGGGGAGACCTGATCGAAGTGTATAAGTGGAAGATAGGTATTAATAAAGGGGATATTAACAAGGTCTTGAGGATATCTCTCCATGAGAGAACCCGCAGTAATGGATTTAAATTGGATAAGTTTAGATTTAGAAAGGACATAGGAAAGTATTGGTTTGGAAATAGGGTAGTTGATGAGTGGAACAGTCTACCTAGTTGGGTTATTGAGGCTGGGACTTTGGGTAGTTTCAAATTTAGGTTGGATAAGTACATGAGTGGGAGGGGTTGGATTTGAGTGGGACTTGCACATCGGAGCTTGTTTCTTGGGTGGCATTGAAAATTGGGTTCGTCAAATGTTTGTTAGTGGGATGAATTGTAAAGGACCTGCCTAGTATGGGCCAACAGGCCTGCTGCAGTGTTCCTCCTTTCTTATGTTCTTATGTTCTTATGTTCTTATGTTTGTTAGTGGGATGAATTGTAAAGGACCTGCCTAGTATGGGCCAACAGGCCTGCTGCAGTGTTCCTCCTTTCTTATGTTCTTATGTTCTTATCAAATAAACTCAAACTGCTTAACAGAGCAGAATCTTTGACTCGTTTACTTTTCAACGATTCGGTGGAATGGGGGAAGGGGATCACGGCTCTCGAGGCCCGGTACCAGACCAGACCTCAAGTTGCTAGCCTGATAGAAAAGGCTGTTAGTGCTGGCCGCACGCCGTTCTACATATATACCACAGCCCGGTTGATATGGAATTGCACTGAAAATTCGAGGACCTCTGATGCTTAAGTATTATTAATCTTTCAGTGATTCAAGGTATGATGAATACCTCATTGTATAATATATATTCAATATACAGATATGAGACATACTCCTTAAGACTCAGGACCTATTGACTGAATATCTTTTAATGTTGTAAACAAGACTCTGCACGTTTTTCTAGACCCTCTGAGATCCCAAACATTAATCACTTTTAGGCAAGGGAATGCCAGTAACCTCTTTTAGACCATGTATTATGGTTTGAGGAAGAAGGAAAAGGAGAAGAGTGGTGGTAGTAGTAGTAGTAGTCAGTGAGGCATTGATTAGAACCTTGAGTATAATTTGAGTGCTCATCCTCTCAACTGTTGGGACTCTACATGTGAGTACTATATGGTGAGATTTTCAGCTTTCCCTGGCAATAATATCAGTCAGTCCCTATATTCTGCAGCCTCAGTTTCCTGTTCTTACCTGACAAGAGTGGAACCCAGTGTGGCCGTTTGCTGCTGAACCCATCCATTCAAGGTTCGAAGTGTTGTGCATTATAGATGCTCTTCTGTATACTAATGTTGTAACATGTGGTTATCTGAGTTACTGTCACCTTCCTGTCAGCCTTAAACCAGTCTGGCCATTCTCCTCTGATCTCTCATTATAAAGGCATTTTTTGTTCACGGAACTGCCACTCACTGGATGTTTTATATTTTTCACATTATCCTCTGTAAACCCTAGACTGTTGTGCATGAAAATCCCAAGAGATCAGCACCATCCTGTCTGGCACCAACAATCACTTCATTGTAAAAGTCATTCGGATCACATTCATTTCTCATTCTGATGTTCGGTCTGCACAATAACCGAACCTCTTGACTATGTCTGCATGTTTTAAAGCATTGAGGTGCTGCTATGTTATTGGCTGATTAGATATTTGCATTAACAAGCAGGTG